CAGTGAAGCAACGTCCTCCACAACTAGACTGAAGAACAAAAGGACAGCAACTTGTCTGTTCCCCTTTCCCCAATTCCCCAGCGCTATTCCCATCCCTCAATTCCCCAATTAAAAAACAAAATCTTAAAAAACCCCCCAAAGATTAAAAAACAAAACAAAACAAACCCAACATATTTGAATCTGCCAACAAAGTCGTCATGGAAACAGTTTGTGGTGACTTACAGCAGGGACTATGGCCATTTAATATCAACAGCTAACATCAACTGAACGAAGACTTTATACCAGACCTAGTGACAAATGCTTTACCTGCATCACTAAGCTCCCATTCCTCTTAGGAAAACAGTACTATCCTGCCCCCTATAGATGAAGAAACTGCGGCACGGAAAGAAGATGACTTACTGGCCCAGTGTCACAGGGAAAAGGAGCGACAAACCCGATATCCAGCTCTGGCTCCTTTCAACGCCAGCCATCTCTAGCTCTCCCCTGTGCTGTCCACTAGGTCTTGAGGGGCTTCCCATTGCAGGAGCTCCCCCAGCCGCGGACTCTTCCTCTCTTCCTCAGCATCTTCTCCCCGGAATTAAGGTCATTTCTGACCGCTCGCCCTCCTCCGAACGTCCTGGGGCTATCTCGGTTTCGAGTCTCCGGGCCCTTCCTAAGCACCCACCCCCGGAGGCCCAGGCCCGCGGCGCGAAGCATTCCCAGCCTCCCCACCCGCCTCACCCGCTTCTCCTGCATCTTCTCGAAGGCCGCCTGGGCCGGGGTCCGCTTGTCCAGACCGCGCCGCTTCTCCTCCTCGTTCTTTTTGCTCGTTCCCATCGCTTCCAGGAGTTTCGCATTGTCTTTGTCCTTCTTTTTCTTCTTTCTGGGAGGAGAAAACAGATGGGGTGAGGACGGGTCAGAGAGCAAGAGCCCGGGGTTTCGGAAAAAGGCTTAAGGGGCAGAAGATGGAGTCCCGCGGGCTCTTGGGACTCACCGCTTGGTCACGCCGAGCTCTGCGACGCCTTTCAGCTTCAAGGGCCCCTTTTGGACCTGCTCGTAAGCCGCCATGGTGCCTGTCCGCAGTTCGGGAGGTAAACTGCCACACTTCCGGTTTGAAAACCCTATTTCCGGAAGAACTCCTGCCTCACTTGGTCTTGAGTGGCCGACCTAGGCGTTGCGCATGCGTCCTTGGCACCTGGACTCGGGCCACACTTCCGGGTTGCGAGCTGAGCCTGGAGAGTCAGGCGCTATGGGGGTGCTCCTGGTACCCTTCCGGCCTTGGCGCCCACTTCTGGTTTCTTCGCCTTTGGAGCCCTCCAATTCAAACCAATTTGACATCCCCATTTCTTAAAAACCAGTGTTTTGCATGTACTTGGATAGCCTTTTCTTTTTTTATTGCCATATTTTGAGGGTTTAATGGTTAATACGCATTTTAATTTGTACTGTTGCCCAAACTGTACCAGGGACTTGGGCAGGGTGGTGGTGGGGAGAGTAGGGGAGGAAGGAGGTAGAAAAGCAAGCATCCCCAAATCTAGACTACATGGGACAAAGAAAGGCTCGGTGCCTGCATTTCCCAGTTCTACCTGCAGGGGGCAGCAAGCGGCTGCCCAATTCTCCAGCCAAAGTCTCACCTTTGGCCTTTCAGAATTGGATGAGAAGGCCAAAAGAGAACCATGGGGCCTGCCAGTCTGTGCCAGCTTCTTCGTGGGGCCATCCATGATAGAATCAACTCCTCAGAGAGTGACATAGGATAGACTCAACTGGAGAAATCTGTTCTCCCCAGCCAACCCAGCAACTTCGGAGCTCGTCTCCGGCGCTTCTAAGGCTGTGTGCCCTGGAGCAAGTGGCTTGAAGTCTCTGANTCTTCTCCTCTGAAGTCAGTTTCATCCAGGCAAAGATAGCTGGCTGGATGTCAAAATGAGTTAGATGCAAGTTGGGTGTAAAAACACTCTTCTATGGCACTTACACAGAAATAACCTTAATCTCTGGGTAAACTCTCAATAATTTCCAGTCCAAACTACAAAGGTTCATTTTCAATGTGCTATTGAGAAACTAAAAATAGAGCAAAAGGACAGTCTTACTTTAATCAAGTTCCAGAATGAGGGCACGCTGCTTTGAAAAGCACGGTCTCAGCAGAAGACGCAATGGTTTGTGTAAAAGAATCTTTCTAAAAAATACCAAAGGCACCAAACGTAACCCAAGTTGGCCTTCTGGTTTCCCTCGGTGCCACTCCATAACCGAGGCGGGGAGGCTACTTCGTCCAGCTGACTTTGGGAATGTCATAGTGCTCCGTGAGTGTATCCAGGTGTCTGTTGAAGTCCTAGGGAAGCCGAGGAGAAAGCCCCATCAGCACAGCGCCAAGCAAGGAGATGTGGCACCACCCACCCTCACTTCTCTACACCCTGTCTCCCCTCAGTGAGCCCTCTCCTCTCAGAGCCACCCTGCCAGGCCTTATAGCTGTCAGAACCCTGGCATCTCTCTTCAATGACCCCAGGGAAGTTGGGTAAATGCCCTTCCCGCTGACATTCCAATGTATCCTCTGCCTCTAGGCCCAGCTGGGACTTACATGGCTCAGCCTCCCACACTATGGGTGTGACTTACCTCCACTCTTTGCTTGTGGGTTTTGGATGCTTTCTTCAGGATCCTTTCCATTTGCTGAAAAGAAGAGAGAAATGCAGGTGATTCACGTGTTCGACACAGTCCAGGCCAGCACAAGATGGAAGATGAGAGTCCCAGCCGGCTTGGCTGTCACACCTAAAACAGCTGGAGGTCTCAGTTCCCTCAACTCCACTCAGGCTGGCCCAACAGAGACGCTCAGCTACAACACATCTCCCCCAGAAACCCAGGTCAGCTACCCCTTGGTCTGAGTGGCAGGAAATGTACTAACACCGACTTGGGTAGCCTCTGCTGGGAGCTGTACAAGTGCTTCCTGCTTCCTTGGGCAACTGACAGAATTCCCATTTTGCAGAAAAAGGAAGTCCCAGATGGGGTTTGAGGAAAGATGACAAATGAGGAAAGGACCTGACACACAGTAGGTGCTTGAGTGACAGTATCCATCCTGATGCTCATTGCCAGGAGGGCTGCAAGATCCAAATAACCTTCATGAGTGACTCTGGAATATGCATCCAGCACCACCACAACCTGTCCCACCCCTCATTCCCAACAACTGATTGTACTTGGTAAGACTTAGGAGCATAGGATGCAGAGCCAGATGGACCTGGGGCTGCACCTGGCTCTACACTTACTGGCTGGGTGACTGTGGCCCTCACTTTGGTGGCCCACCCCACCCCTGTACATTCGGGCTGCGCTGCCTGGTATTCATGGCCTTGCGCAGTCATCTGCCACACTGACTCTGGGCTGGCCCTGTGTCTCAGTTTACTTAACAGAATGTAGTGTCAGCGCTGAGCTAAAGCTGTAAGAAAAGCTAGCATCTTTTGCTTTGTGTCCCTGGAAGCCAGCCATCATTGTAGGAAGTCTGATGATCTTAGTAGAAAGAAAGGACCTGGAGGATGAGATGACATGTGGGGAGAGAAGCCACGGAAGGAGCACCGAGGCATCGAACATGTGATGGCAAAGCCATCTTGGATGTTCCAGCCCAGTTGGGCCTCCAGCTCCAGCTGCTGTCTGACGGCACCAGCAAAGTCAGCAGAACCACCTAGCTGAGCCCAGACAATCCACGGACACATAAGATAACGCTGTCAGCTGCCACCTGGCTGTTCCTCCCTGTCCCTCATCTCCTTTGCTGCCTCCTCTCCCTCTGCCTCCAGTCAGCGCCCACGTGGCTGATCCTCCCTCTGAAGTGTCTGTCCCTGCCTCTCTTCCTGCTACTGTGAGCCTAAGTGAGGCTCGTGTCTCCTCACAAGAGGCCGCACTGACCTGACCAACTGTCACCAATGCCAGGCCCTTGGTGAGGCTCTGCCTTCCCTCTGCCTAACTCCATGAATCAGGTTCACAGGGTCTCTTGGGTGCTGTCACCATCTCCACTTCACACACTGAGAAAATAAGGACCAGAGTGCACAGCGGGTGATGGACCTAGACATACCAAGCCCTGACCCCTTCCACCAGGCCAGGGCCACACCCCAAGGGCCCTGCACTCGATCCAGCCTTCATGCTCCCTGCACTCGATCACACACCTTCCACAAGGGAATCTGCATTGCCCAACTGTACCTAGCTTTACCCACACCTTCTCCCTTTTCTCTCATCCATGTTACCCCTCTCTCTCCTGGGTCAAACAAAACCTGCAAGAGCACTTCCGGTTTTAAATGCCAATAACAAAAATTTTCCCTTGACTTTCCACCACGTCCAGCTACAGGCGCAATTTTCTATTCCCCTTGACAGTAAATCTCCCAAGAGTCATTTCTGTTCCTGATCTCCACCACTGCCTTTCCCCCACCCCCTCATGGATCCACTCTAACCCAGCTTTCCTTTTAAATTTTATTTTTAATTATAGTTAATACACAATATTACATTTAAGCAATCTTTCTTCCTCCTCATTCCAAATGCCAACAAAAAGCTCCCGTGCTCACCCCACAAGCCCTCTTGGCAGGATATGACATGGTTGATCACTTCCTTCTTCTCAAAACACTTTCTCCACTCGGCTCTTAAGGGTACACCCCTCTCCTGATTTGGCTCTTAAGGGTACACACCCTCTCCTGATTTTCCTCCTTCCGGTGATCCTTTGCAATTTCTTCTCTGCCACCTTCTAATCATCAGAGGTCAGACCTGAGACCTCTTCTCTGTCACTGTCACTCTTCAGAGAAGTTCATCCAGTTCTACAGCAATTGCCCAATGTTTATGTGGGGCCCAGACCTCTCCACTAAACTGCAGATTCAGAAGTCAAACTCTCCATGAGAATTCTCCACTTGGATTTCTAAAAGGCACCTCAAAGTTGACGTCTCTAAAACTGAGGTCTTGATCTCTCCCTTTAGTAACCTGCTTTACCCACAGTCCTTCCTATCTCAGTAAATGGCACCTTCATTCACCCAGCTATTCCTGCCAAAAACCTTGGTCATCCTTGATTCTTCTTTCCTAGCCCACACCAAATCCATCAGGTGATCCTACTGCTCTTCCTTCAAAATCTATCCCAAACCCGATACCTTCCATAGCTTCCAGTATTACTGCCTGACTCTAAGAAGCCATTATTAATCACCTTGTATGTTGCATTAGCCTCTTCCCCAGTCTATCCCTGCTCCAGGAGTAATATCCCAACCCTGCCTCTGATTATAACCTTAGGGAAGGGACTTACATGCATTCACTTGTTAAATCCTCACCACAAACCTATGAGGTACACACTTAAGCCCCACTTTACTGATGAAGAAACTGAGGTGTGGGATGTTAGCCAACTTGCCCAGAGTTACACCACCACCAAGAGTGGAACCCAGGTCTGTCTTGCCAAAGACAGTGCATCTCACCTTTTTTTTTGTAGTACTGAATTAAGCCTGATAGCAATAAGTAAACTCTTCCCCATGTCACGATGGAATCACCCAGACCAAGGTTAGAGTTTTTCAGCCTGGTGCTACTGACGTTTTGGGTATGATCATTCTTTCCTGTAGGGAGCATTATCTTGAGCATTGTAGGATGTTGAGCAGCATCCTGACCTCCACCCACTAGATGTCAGCAGCTCCCCTCCTGAGTTATGACAAAGAAAAAAGTCTCCAAACATTGCCAAATGACTTCTTGGGAATGGAAGTAGAGAGACAAAACGGTCCCCAGTTGAGAACCACTGACCTAGACCTATTATTCCCTCCCCCCAGCATAAGGGGCCAAGCTTATCTAACACTGCCCCCTCCTATGCCCCACCGCTCACATTTATCAATATTAACAAGTAATTTAACAGAGCCTGAAAAAACAACATATTTGAGGGCCGGCCGAGTGGCGCATTGGTTAACAGCTGGCTTGGGACGCCAAAGGGCCCTGGTTCGGATCCCACATATGGGGGCCAGTGACACTGCCCTCTACAGCTAAAATGCTGAACAACAGCTGGACTGCCCTGAGTCGCCAGCGAGGGCAGGTGGGTTGCCATGGGCTACCGTGTGTAGCCAGCAGCCAGCATGAGCGGCCGTCCAGAAGCCGGCGACTGATCTGGCCCAGTGTCACAGGGAAAAGGAGCGACAAACCCGATATCCAGCTCTGGCTCCTTTCAACGCCAGCCATCTCTAGCTCTCCCCTGTGCTGTG